TCGATACTGTCTCTTTGAATTTAAATCTAGAAACCTCTACGTGAACACACCTGCCCGAATAAAGTGCGGGGGACGAAATTACATTTCTTTCAAATTAAATATAGAAAATGCAGCTAACGTTCTACACACAGCAATATAAACAAAGGTGCCTGTTCTCTTTCGTTCTTGCTGTTTGATTGGGAAAAGTTTAAAGGGCGTCGAGGGGTTACGTCTTTATGTTATCTGACTAAAAAACTATTACTTTGAACTTTTTTTGAACTAGAGTGCCTTAAAAATAATTATCACAACCCTGATAAAACAGGCTTATATTGATTTTCTCATCCTCCGATTTATAGGCTACTTATCAATCCTGTTTTTATCATCATTATAATTTACAAAATGAATAAATTCAGAACAGGATTATAATATAATTCTATTTTAAATAAGACAGCAATATTTTTTCTACAACAACAACAGTAGTGTTTGCAACAGTAAAACCACCATACCCTGTAAACTCAATAATAATAATAGGCCTAATTTAATTCCGTTTCTATTTTCAGAGTGATTAAGAGGTGCAAAGAAATGTTTAACTTTTAAACTTAAAATGGTCTTTTCTGTTTTTTGACACTTGCTGTACTAAGGTGTGATGTAATTAATTATCTTTGTAAAAATAAATAGAACTGCATAACTGTAAGCCAATTTCTGAAGTATTATTTATTTATTTATTTAGCCTCCCCAAGGATGAAAGGTACAATTTTGTACATTTGCAATGTGCACAATCGTTCCTTTGGATACAAAATTGGCCCTTAAATGGTACAAAGTTATAAGGTACAATTTTGTACCTCTAAGTAGAGGTACAAAACGGTACCCTTTAGGGTATCACCCCAGTGACGGCCACTTGTACCCTAAAAGCTACAGTTTTGTACCTTTCTTTCTGAGAGTGTACTGTGGTAGCTATTAGGCAACAACATGTGATATTATTGTACAAAGTAAAATGCCAGTTCTGCAACTAGTAGTTGTAGGTAATCCCTGTTACAAGCTAACATGTGGCAATGTTAACTAGTGACTGCCTTATGTAATTTGGTACCGATCACAAATTAAACAACTAAAATTGTCATCAGTAACACAAATATTTTGCATTTTAGTGTTCATTTAATCTTCATTATCTCATGAGACCCAACCAATTAATCGTCATGTGTTAAATATTAGCCTATATGTGACCCTGGACCACAAAACCAGTCATAAGGGAAAATTGAGATTTATACATCAACTGAAAGCTGAATAAATAAGTTTTCCATTGATGTATGGTTTGTTAGGATAGGACAGCATTTGGCCGAGATGCAACTATTTGAAAATCTGGAATCTGAGGGTGCAAAAAAATCTAAATATTGAGAAAATCGCCTTTAAAGTTGTCCAAATGAAGTTCTTAGCAATGCATATTACTAATCAAAAATTAAGTTTTGATATATTTACGGTAGGAAATTTATCAAATATCTTCATGGAACATGATCTTTACTTAATGTCCTAACGATTTGTGGCATAAAAGAAAAAATAATAATTTTGACTCATACAATGTATTTTTGGCTATTGCTACAAATATACCCCAGTGACTTAAGACTGGTTTTGTGGTCCAGGGTCACATATTATAACCATGCAGATGTCCTGTTCCCTCAAGGTAGATGGCAATGAAATTGACCACATTTTCTGAGTCTTTATAGTGTCTATGATAAAGTTGTAGCCTCCCTCTCAAGTGTCCCACACTTATTTAGAAGTGCTCTATCACTGACAGACAGAACTATTTCAACATGATTGAGTCCCTGATCAAAGTAGAAGTGAATTCTCTCAGCCATGATGCAGAGGTATACTATATACTGCACTTCAAATGGCTCTTGTTACAGTCAAGCTAGAAAAATAGAGAGAGAAAATATGTCAAGATCTTGAGAAAGCAACTTTTATGTTGTAATCACGACAAAACAAGACCGAAAAAAATGCATGGTCATAATTCCCTACCTTTGGATTAATTTTAATCTAGCTTTCATTTATTTGGCAGCACATGGAAGAATAATCTTTAAGTATTTTTGCAAAAAAAAAACATTCCTAAGTAGTTAAGGTCACACTTTAGTTTTGGGACCAATTCTCACTATTAACTAATTATTAATTATGACTTTTGTCTCAATAGACTTCTAATTTGCTGCTAATTAATAGTTATTAAGGTAGTTGTTAAGTTTAGATGGGGTATGGTTAAGGGATCTAAATCATGGTCGTGCAGAATAAAGCATTAAAGGGGTCATATGATGCTTTTTTAAAGATCATTATTTTGTGTATTTGGTGTAACAGAATATGTTGACATGCTTTAATGTTAAAAAAAAACACATTATTTTTCAAATACTGTACATTATTGTAGGTCCTCTATGCCCCGCCTCTCTCAAACGCTTCGTTTTCTACAAAGTCCCTCCTTCCGACAAGCGCAGTCTGCTCTGATTGGCCAGCTGACCCAGTGCATTGTGATTGGCCAAACACCGCAAGCACTCGTCGGAAATGTAACGCCCCTTACCATAATCGCGAGCTTCATCTTTCAAAATAAATGTAAAGACAGCCCGAAAGGGGAACAGAGTCACGTGACAGACACAGTGATGAAGCTGGTATGTGTTTGCAGTACACAAGCCACGGTTAAGACAGCTGACTCCACTGTGGTGTGACCCTGTCTCTCTCTCTCTCTCTCTCTCTCTCTCTCTCTCTCACACACACATTACTGTAGTCTTCAAATCTGGGTACTGTCTTACGTTTTAAAATCACAAAGAGAGTTTGGTCCCATCAGGCTAACGTGACAGTCACGACTCATGCAGCTGTAAGGTTTTCTTTTTCTTTTGTTTTTACTCGCGATCTTTACAACACGCATTACATTACGTATTTCATGGCACACTCGTTTTATGTATATTTGGCGCCACCTATTGTTGTGGGTGTATTATTGACCTGTCAAAGTCTAGACCCTGAATATAAGACGACCCGTTTTTTCAGATGTATTTCCAAGAAAAAAACATCGTCTTATATTCGGGTCAATACGGTACTTAAAAACAACCAATACACGAGACAAATGCATGCTAATAAACAACTACTTAGTAGTGAGAATTGGTCCAAAGTGTTACCGTAGTTAACTAGTAATTTTGTTACTAGTGTGCTTGTAATGATTATGCCTTTAAATTGGCATTTAGTGTGATATTCCTAACTAGTTAACTAGCAACCAAGTCATCTGTTAACTGGTAATAGTCAAAGTTAACTAGTAACTATTAGTTCACAATTTAATGAAAATTTGCTTAATAAGAGAAGCTATTATTATACTTAATTAGTACATTAATATGACATATTGTTTCCTAATTGTTTATGTAACTGATATATAATTCATATCATCCAGATTTTCTCTCGAATGTAGTGAAAATCTAACTACTTTTAAATGTATTAAAGAGCAATTAATACATATTTCATTATACATGAGTGAACTAGTTAAACTGGTAAAGTTTAACTAGTTACTATTATTAATTTTGTCACATGCAAGAATAACCCTGTGCTAACTGGACAAAAAGTAGGTAACTATTAACTTAACTAACAACTAGTGTGCATTTGGCTCTATGTCTTTAAATTGGCTGTTTCCTAACTAGTTAACTAGCAAATTAGTCACTTGTCAACTAATAACTACTATTTAACAACTATGTTGAAAATGGAATTTGTTGGTAAGAGAAGGTAATTAGTAGTAGTAGAAGTAGTTGCAGTAGTCAACTAGTATTTTACTTGATTAGAACATTAATATGACTTAACTACTTATGTAATCCATTACTGATGGTATAGCCCATTCACTGTCGGTGATAAAATTATAATGTGTTTAATGAGCAATTACTGTAATAGACAAGGATGTTGTTCCTTAACATACCCTTTCCCCACAACTCATGGAGTTCCTTTACAGTACAACATCCTGTATTCTCCCCTCCTCTTCCTCCTCTTCATCTTGATCATCGGTCTGGATGCGAATCTCTGGTCCATCTTTATGAGATTCAGGCTGGCTCTGAGCACGCTCAGGTTTGGGGGTGGAGACAGATGATGAAGGCGGTGATGGCTGCTGAACAGACATGGCTCGACGCAGCAGCGGAGTGCGCTTGCAGGATAGAAAGTCTGGGGATGGAGATAGGAAGTCTGTTTTGGAGGAAAGGCCAAAAGATCCCTGACGAAGCACCATTCGGTTTTTTTTGGAGCGTGAGCCATGCTCAAACTCAAGAATGGAGAGGTGAGCTGCATAGCCTTCACTCAGAAACTAAGTCAGATGAAATAGAAAAAAAGGAGGGAAAATTGTGCATGAAAAGATATAGTACTGTTAAGTAATTGAGTAGACTAAGAGGAAAACACCTTAAGCTGGTAAACTAAAACGACTGTTCCCGGTTGCATGAAAGCCCTTAAGCTAAGACATCCCTTAGTTATAAGGTTAAGGGTGCCCTTAGTGAAACTTGGGTTGCAAGAAAAAAACCTAAGGTCAACTTAAGGAATCTTAAGGCTGTCATTAATTATTCCTCCTTAATTATTTAAGTGTTCCCTTAAGTGTTGCTACAAAGTACTTCCCTGTTGACAGCTGGTATGAGCTGGTTTAAGCAGGTCCTTAGTTAGTCATGAGCTGGTTCTGAGCTGGTCCTGAGCAGGAGCTAGTTGCTTAGGACCATCTTAAACCAGCTTATGACCAACTAAGGACCAGCTTAAACCAGCTCAAACCATCTACCATGCTTCAAAAGATACCTAACCAGCATATGCTTGTTTTTTTAACAGGGTTAGTAACTATTTCACCTTAATAAATTTAAGGAACCAAAACAGCTCCCTTAAGTCATCTTAAACTCAAACGCGATGGCTGATTTTATGTTAACTGAAGAGGAGGAAGTACCGAGATGTGTTTTTAATGTTCAGAATAATCCCTTATTCGATCAATAAATGGTGTGCAATTATTGAGAGAGTATCCGTTTTACCGTCAGTAAATCCTTCGTCTCACCACAGTCTAGTTTGGTTTACGTTTTTTTGTTTTCTGTGATCTTGGTATTCTCCATAACGTAAATATTTTAGTACAACTGTGGTTGTAGCAAAGGTTAAGTTTGTGGTTGGTTATGTTCTGTTTATTGTGAGATGTAGTAACTATAGCAACGGTGGCGCCCATTGCAATATGTTGCCAGAAACTACAGTGAAACGCTTAGTACAAACACTTTGGTAAGGGTTACAGTTAAGACTGGGGGGCAGTCGTGGCCTAATCGATAGAATTGGACTTAACCCAAAGGTCATGGGTTCGAGTCTTGGTACCTGCAGGGAATGGCTGCCCACTGCTCCAGGTGTGTGTTCACGGTGTGTGTGTGTTCACTACTCACTGCTGTGTGTGTGTGCACTTGGATGGGTGAAATGCAGAGCACAAATTCCGAGTATGGGACACTTCAGGGATACCCCTAAGTCAAATTAAGAGCTTTCATGCAAACAGAGCTTTACCTGGCACTGATGCTGATGTTTCTTGGATGGCCTGCCTACAATGTATATCTGATTAGGTGCCAATCCCAATGTGCTGTACACAGACATGTCCTTCATAGATCCATACGCTGCACTAATATTAATGTGACACTATGTGGGAAAAACAAATTTATTCAGCATGTTTTTCCATCCCAATGGACAACTGAGGCATGCAAAAATAGCAAGCTGTTTTAAATAAAGATTAATTTATTTGTTTATAAATAAATCTAAATAAAACATTATGAGGCTAATCATTACGAAAAACCTACAAAATCATCTCGTAGTGTAACATATTATAATGTATGATGTAAATGTCCTGCTGTGTTGTGTACACGCCATCAGCAGACCTCTTTTACTAGACTCTTCAGAAAAATTGTTTTCTGACGCAAGGGGTCATGGACGAGTCCTTCTGCGAAGAAGACCATGCCCTGAGGGAAGTTGTGCTGAGAGAGCCAAGACACCACCCTCTGCTTCTGCATGTCAGGACGGCCAGTAATGTAGATGATCAGATACCCAAGATCCTGCCAGTGTCTACAGAATAATCAAAACACAGTTATACAGGGGCTAACGACATCTATGAATAGTGTACAAGATAGGGCCTTAAACTTGATCTGTGAAAGGAGTCTTACCCTTCAGAAATTTCTCTCATCTCATCAAATAAAACATAGCCCTGCCCCCAGACTTAGCAAACTTATCTAATACAGTACATCTTACAAAAATATGGAATTTGTGCCTCTAAAGGACATTAAAGTGTGCTGTATTACAAGTAGTGACAGCAGTATAAAGGTGCCATCACATTAGCAAAATTTTGTGTGAAGGAATTGTCAACGTTCTCTTGTCACTAATGATGTATGAAGCACAGTTCACAGTCACTTTCAAGCAAAACAGCTTTCTGTTTGTAAACGTGGCATAACCAACTTGAACCCATTTTGAAATCTGTGGGGAAATGTTTCGCTCCTACACAAGAAATTTTCCATCACATGGATTCCCATGGAAATTACTATGTTTCACACATGAAAAACAGTAAACCACACATTAAGACTTGTCTAACTGTTTATCATCAGTCACACATTTACCTGACCACATCCACAGCTCCAGGGCGGACTTTGGGATCATTGCCCATAAGGGAGACACTGGCAGCAAAAGAGCCATCAATACTAAACACCACACACTCCATTCCCCGTGGCAACACTGTGAGGAATGCCTCTGCACTTGTCTGATCACCTCTGTAAGGACAAATAAGGAAATGCAACCAACTCCGGTTAGAAATTCCTCCATTCTTTCATTTTTTTATTTATTTTTTTTTTAAACAGTCTATAGGTAGTAGATATTACAGTTATTTACTATTTTGTGATGAGAATGTAAATACTTACTTGACCACCATTTTGATGGGGTAGACACCTACTCCGAGTCTTTTATTATCAGGCATGGTGTAGGACACCCGTCCGCTGCTGCTGGTCACCACAGTGTCGAACAGCACCCAACGGCCAGAGGCAGGCTGTGCCTTTAAAAACACATCCACCTGAGAAACAGACAGGATATTTGAACTCAAAAAAATATATACCAGATCATAATTTTTGTTTCAGTGAAACTTTTGTGCTGTCTATCCATCAGAGTGGTAATGCTAACAGTTGTCTTTAATTTTGTAGCATTGGTCATGACAACAATACAGTTATGACAATGACCATCTTACCTTCTCTCCCGTTAGGGTCACCATGTCAAGAGGGCCATACATAAACCGCCCCACCAGTGTCTGCGGGCCATCTTCTGTCACGATGACATCATGAACTCTGTGATTCGCCGTTACATTCTGATAATGAATAATAATAATAAGATAGACCTCCAATTCAAAGGGATGCTAATAAAAACTATTAAAACCTATTTTAACAGGATTATTATAGTTAACTAAAACTAAAATCAAAAAAACACCTTAAACATTAACTGAAATTAAATACAGTATTTTAAAAAACGTATTTTATTCAACTAGCTGCTAAGACGACATATCTCATTTTGATTTGTCAAAGCAATATATTCTAACACTAAAGGACCTTGTTGTTCTGATGTATAACTATGAATTAAAATCATGCTGTTAAAAACCGCTTTACAAGAAGATTCATCAGCATGTTTAGAGTTAAAAATAGCAAAGGCCTGAAAGTGTCAGTGCTGACATGTTCATGTTGAATGTCTTGGGCAGTAACTAAAACTGAAATAAAAATTATATAGACATATAAAAAAACTAATAAAGATAACAAAAACACACAATAAAATTGCCAAAACTTTAAATTAAATAAAAACAGAAAATATTAAAATATTAAAAACTATAATAGTATCTCAATCGTACTAAAATAACACCGATATATAAATTGTTGTCTGTCTTCTTCATGAAAGGATGTTGACATTAGAAAAGTTTTAATGGTTCTCCAGCACAGTGGTACATTTGCGAATATATATATTGTGAGACTTAGTAAGGTTAAGAGGGGACAGTTGTGTTGTACTTTACAGTCTTTCTAATTCTTTAGGGAATGTGGAAATATCTGACAAGAGTTCTCAAAGGATGTTCATGTTGACAGTATAAGATACTTTAGAAAGAGTTTTTTACACACAAAGTAAGTAAACATCACTCTCACGCTACACAGACTGTTACACATCACCCTGGACTACATTTCCCATGCTCCATTGCACTAATCACAATCTCACCTGAAACCAATCACACACAGCTGATACCAATAACACACACTATATAAATCAGTCTCACACCACCATTCAATGCCGAGTATTGTTTAGCGCATATCTCTCTCATAGTGATAGCTACTTTACGGAGCCACTCCAAGTTTCTTAAAGGGGTCATATGATGCGATTTCAAGTTTTCCTTTCTCTTATTACCCTTTGCCTTGCTGTTTCGAACTGTGTTTGCACCTTGCCTGGACTCTAGCTCATCTTGTGGATTCCATGTTTGCCTCGCTCCCAGGATTACGTTCGCCGGAGATCGACCATGCCCATTTACTGGACTACTCTTGTGTCTTGCCCTCAATATACCCGTTTGCCATTGTTTGACCCATGCCTGTTATAACCATGTCTCTGTCTAATAAAAGCCTGCAGATGGATCCGCACGTCTCACGATCGCAAAATGGCGGACACAACAGCACCGCGTTATGTCACAGCAGCCAATCCTGAATCAAGTCACAGTTGATCTTCATGAATCAAGTCAAGTCACAGTGGATCTTCATGAGTCAAGTCAAGTCACAGCTGATCTTCATGAGTCAAGGCATGTCACAGTTGATCTTTATGAGTCAAGTAAAGGCACAGTTGGTCTTCATGAGTCAAGTCAAGTCACTGCTGATCTTCCTGAGTCAAGTAAAGGCACAGTTGATCTTCATGAATCAGGTCACGTCTCAGCTGAACTTCCAGAGTCTCGTCACATCACAGCTGATCATCCAGAGTCA